AGGTGCTTTTTCAGGAGGCAACTGGAATTTCTTCTTTTTCTTTGAAGACGTTTCACCCTAAGAAGCTTCTTCAGTTCTGACTGAATGGTGGGGGAAATGGAAGGATTTATACTCCTTGCAGACAGCTGGTCATTTGGCTTCTTTCAGAAAGTTCTTGAGGCCATCTGGAGGTTTATCTGTGTCCTCAAGGTCACCTGAGTGGTGCAAATGGGTGTGGAGCCTTCTTGGAACTGCTGAAAGGACTGTGTTGTAGACTGGAGAGAGATGATGTCATATCTGTCCCCTTCTGTTAAGAGAGGACTGTTCAGTTTTGACATAGATGGCCTCTTTGACCCCTCTTTCAAACCAGCGGTCCTCTCTGTCCAAAATGTGGACTTTGCTGTCTTTGAAAGAACGGCCTTTTGAGGGTCATCATAAAATAGATGTCAACAAAGCTTGTCCTTCCTTGCCTTTAGTTGCCAACCTGATGTAGGAAAAGGGCCGTAAATGGAAAAATTCTGACCATAGTTCTCAAAGATCTCCTTCCCATCTTTTCATGGTCAAATATTTGGGAATTAGCTGATCAGGAAATGGAGGGGATTCTTCAGTAGCCACTAGCAGGAGATCGGGGGAAATGGAGGCATCCAGTCATACAATTTTTTCTTCTGGGACAATGTGGGGCCTCCTGTCTTTCAGTCAATCATAATTGTTGAAAGGACTGTGTTGTAGACTGGAGATAGATGATGTCATATCTGTCCCCTTCTGTCGAGAGAGGACTGTTCAATTTTGACATAGATGGCCTCTTTGACCCCTCTTTCAAACCAGCAGCCCTGTCCAAAAAGTGGACTTTGCTGTCTTCAAAAGAGTGGCCTAAAGCAGTCCTTTATTTTTAATTCTACGGGTAGTCCTCGACTTACGACCACAACCGAGTCCAAAATTTCTGTTGCTGTGAAACATTTTAAAGTGAGTTTTGCCCCATTTTACGGCCTTTCTTACCACATTTGTTAAGTTTGTTAGTAACACGGTTGTTAAGTGAATCTGGCTTTCCCATTGAATCTTTGCTTGTCAGAAGATGGGAAAAGGGGATCACGTGACCCCGGGACACTGCAACCGTCGTAAATGTGAGTCAGCTGCCAAGCATCTGAAGTTTGATCGCATGACCATGGGGATGCTGTGTGAAAAATGGTCATAAGTCATTTTTTTTCCAGTGGTGTTGTAACTTTGAACGGTCACTAAAAAACATTATAAATCAAGGACTACCTGTATTTTTTGTGGGTTTTTTTGTTTGTTTAGTTAAAAAAAATCTTTACAAATCAGCCTCAAACTTATTTCCAGTAACAAGCCACATCCAGAGCGCACAGCGAGTCACTTTGAAAGCATCCAGTGCTTTTCCATTAGGCCTGAGTAATTTCTGCCCAACGCCATACATCTAACATTAGGGGATAGCCCTGACAACGTGCATCGTTCTTTTCTAAAACAGAATCACACAAATATTTTATGTTATGAATGTAAGAAGAAATGCTCCTTTGTTTTCCTTTGAATTACTTGTTTTTATAGGATGGTGGCCTTCTTTAAACAAAAAACAAAAAACACATTTCCTTAACAGACAGCCTGACAAAATAAGGCGTGGAATTCCTGTAGCCTGATCTTTAGAAAGGTAATGATTCAAATATTATTTTTAGTTGTGTCGCATGCAGGCAGTAATTAATCTCAAGTGAAATGGGAGAACAACCCTTGCACAGATTATTCTTTCATTTAAACATATGTTCTTAAAATGTCAAGCAATTTATTTTACAACGTCAGGGCTGTAACCAAAATTCACAAAGGAGCCCTTTTCTGTTTTCAGCAAGAGATAAAGAGGCTCAGATCCAAGCTGTCTGCTTGTAGTTCTACTCGGGGTTGGTTTGTTTTTTTTTCTTTCCTTAGTCCACCAAGATGTAAAAAAATTTGAAAAGTCAGGATCTATAAAATAGTCGCAACTCAATCATGTGTAATTCAAAACATCCCAATTGGAAGTGTGAAAGGGCCCGTTTTTCAATGTACAACAGCTGCTCCAAAAGCAAAACAAGCTGTTTTCAGCATTTTTTTCACACTCAAAAACAGCTGTTTTGCACGTGAAATAGGGCAGTTCAACTTGAAATGGGAGGGGGGGAGCGTTTCAATTTCAAAACTCCTCTTCATCATTGACAACAAATCTATTAACCAAGTCTCTGGACTATATAATGTATGTGTCTGGCCCAAACAGTCATGTTTCCTATTCATTGTGTTGTGCAAAATTATTGTTTTGCTTAAATTTCAGAACTCTTTACAATTCTGTTACGTATCGAAGTCTGAGAAGCTCTCGTCTTATAATATAGGGAGCATCCTTCAAAAAGTAAAAGAACAGAAAAGCTATTTCGTGAAGTTTCCTGTAGGCAGATTCCTTTATATCTGACTGTAGAATGTGAAGTAGCTACTTATGGATAGCTGGGAATCTAATACAATTTCAACTGCTCACAACTTCAAAACCTACCTGTGAAAACTGTGCCTCTTCCATTTGGCTTGAAAAACTGAAAAGTTGGAAGCATGAGGGCTGACACCCCTCCCCAAAAGCCTGGCTACAGCAGCTAGACCAGTGATGGCGAACCTTTTAGAGACCGAGTGCCCAAACTGCAACCCAAAACCCACTTATTTATTGCCGGGTGCCAGGTGGGCGTGGCCCACTGGGTGGGCATGGCTGTGGTGGTCATGGCAGACTGGATGGGTGTGGCCAAGATGGGCATGGTGGGGATCGGGCAGGGTTGGGGGAGATCCCTGTCTGGCAGGTGGGGCGGTGGGCAGGAGGCTCGTCCTGCAGGGCGGGGCGAGGCGAGGCAGGGCGGGGGTGCCATTGTCGCAAGGCAAGGCAGGGGCCACCATCAGCCCCCGCACACAGAGGCCAGCGAGCGCAAGGGGGCCGACAGTGTCTGTCAGCAGCCACAGCCTGCCAGCCCCTCGACCGGCGCACTCTGGGGCTCCGCAGCCTACCGCCAGCAGTTCAGAGAAGCCGCCTCTGAGCTCGACGGACGGCCGACAGCTGAGGAGGCGATGCAGTGGGTCGTACCCAGGAAAAGGAGAGCATGTGAGGCCAGGAGGGATGGGATGGGGGGGAGGGAAACCAGCCGTGCTGGGATGCATCCGGCCATGTGGGACCTCGGCGATTTAGCAGGCAGGTGGTTAAAGAGGGACGGTTGCCATCTCGGGCATGGCACGTGTGCCCACAGAGAGGGTTCTGAGTGCCGCCTCTGGCACACGTGCCATAGGTTCGCCACCACTGAGCTAGACTATAGCCCCCATTATTATATAGTATGGGTGGCCATGTTGGCTGGCCCACGCTAAAGCTTGTAGCCCAAGCATGAGAGTTTATTTATTTAAGAAAACTTAAATGGCAGTCCAATTCACTCTTAATATAAAAATAATAAAAAGGCAATAAACCCTCCCCACTCCACCTCCCTGACGACAACAATCAGATGTGCCATTTGATAGGTTCCATCCTGTTCTGAAGTCCCTAGGCCCGTTGGCAAAACCAGGTCTTCAGTGTCAAAGTGGAAGCCAATCTTATCTCTGTGGGGATGATGTTCCACACTGAGAGAGCCACTATGGAGAAGGCCCTTCTTCTTGGTCCTGCTTGATGGACCATCTTGGAAGAGGCGACCTGTAGCATTCCCTGTTTCTCTGCTCTGGTGGGTTGGGTAGATGTGACCAGGAAAAGACAATCCTTCAAATAGTTTGACTTGGTTATATTCAAATGCACGATATTGATGGGAATTTTTAATCCAAAAAGTTAAAACTGGAAGAGGCCATAAACTATCAACCTTTCAAGAGCTGTTCCCTACAGCCTCCAATCTAGCCAGTTATCTGAGATTCTGGTAGCCTGTTGTCTGAATTCTCTCATACATACAACAAGCAGGACGTGACGGTACTGAAAAAAGGTCAGATATTTTCTGGGCCAAATTAGCACAGACATCATCACCCTATCAGCAATTGTAAGAATTACTACTTTAATAGCAAGGGACTAAATTTGGATCTTTATAGGAACTATAAGGCTTTGTGGTGATGACTCATTCTGTGGAGGGGAGAAGAAAGAAGAGATTTTAAACAATTTATTTAGATAATCGTTATTTGTTATTTCTTAACGTGAAGAAGGCTTGATTGGTTGACCACACTCCTAGTCAGGACTGCAAGATTGGTGTGCAGTTACATCCTTCCCTCATAACACACACCAGTTTGGATCCATATACTTTTTAAAAGCCTAAATAGCATCCTTTTAAAACTCTGCACCACTGAGGTGCTTTTATCAAGGTCCATTCCAATACTGCTGACCATCATGTTTTGGAATACTTTATTTATATATCAAATGCTTAATTTCAAGTACAAAATTCACACCAAAATAATCATTTCCCGGTTGTTTTCTGAAATCAAGACTGAAGTCAACGTATGCCCTTACAGCAGTGGTTCTCAACCTATGGGTCGCGACCCCATTTGGGGTCGATCAACCATTTCACGGGGGTCGCCAAGCAAGGCTGTCCGCCATTTTTTTCCCCCTTTTCCAGTGGGTGCCTTACCTCCCTTGAGCTGGGCCAGCTGGTGGTCGGCCTGCTCCGTCTCTGCCGCTTGCCAGCTATGCCTCGGCCGGCGCAGGGGGCGGAACCACGCATGCACAGCGCTCCCGGGCAGGGAAAGTCCTCGACTTACGATCGGTTGGGTAGTCCTCGACTTACAACCGGTTTAGTCCTTGACTTACGACCGGTTTAGTCCTCGACTTACGACCGGTTGGGGGTCGCGGCATTAAAAAGGTTGAGAACCACTGCCTTACAGCAAAATTAGCAGTAGAAATTTTCAACATTCAAAGCTTCCTGCATTTATTCACCTGGGCCTTGGGACATTCTAAGAACACTGAAACTGTAAAATGGCGGCACCACAGTTTTAATCCGTTTTGTAAGCACTTAGTAAGAACGAGGTATCATGAAAAAAATTCCAGGACATTGTTTGTTTCATTCTTTCTCTCTTTCACAGCACGAATCAGTCACTGGTCTAAGCCATGGGCAGGTCATAGGAAGCAGGATGTCTGCCAGTCACATGATAATAAATCTGTGCAATGGAAACAAAGAAAGCAGAAATTAAACCACTATAATAAAACTGGCAAATTATGGGTAGGTTAATGCAAAGATGGACCCAGCGGATAGACACTTAATTATTCACACTGATTAAGAACATGCCTTATCTAAAGCCGTTCTCTTTAAAAAGGAAATATGAGCTGATACTCTTTGTTTCACCTGGTATGCTTCATCTTAGATTTATTTGGCAATTTTCTGTCTCTCTCCATGGAAAATGGGATATATAGGACTCACTCTAATTCACAACAATCATGTACAGTTAGGTTAAAGATAAAGGTTTCCCCTGCCCAGTTGTTTCTGACTCTAGGGCAGAGATCCCAAACCTTTTGGGCACCAGGGACCGGTTACGTGGCGAGAGGTTTTTCCACAGATCGGAGGAGGCGTGGGTTTGTGTGCTGCCTTTGTGCGGCCCAGTTGCTGGCATGCCGCGGCCCGGTACAGGTCCACAGACCGGGGGTTGGGGACCCCTGCTCTAGGGGGCAGTGTTCATTTCTATGTCTTAGCCAAGGGAGCATTGTCCAAAGACAATGATGCCAGACTAGCGACTTAATGTCTATGCTAATCTAGCTGGGAGAAAAGCAAAGCTTGTCACTTGATTTTGAGCCCTATCTAAATGGAGTGTCTTGCACTGACAGCCAGCCAAGTTCAGCTTTTTCTTCCATTTTCAGCAGAACCTCCAAGATTTCTGCTTTGACTAAACCAGGGGTAGGCAACCTTGGCTCTTTTATGACTCGTGGACTTCAACTCCCAGAATTCCTGAGCCAGCATGGCTCAGCTTGGAAACTCCCTTTCCCCTCAGCATGGCTGGCTCAGGAATTCTGGGAGTTGAAGTCCACGAGTCATAAAAGAGCCAAGGTTGCCTATCCCTGGACTAAACTAATGTTTGTCAACCTTGGTAACTTGAAGATGTGGGGACTTCAGATGCCAGAATTTCCCAGTCGGATGAAGATCACACCTCGTAAAATTGTCACGGTTGAAAAACACTGGGTTAAAGCGTTCGTTTATTTTATTTGTCTGCCATTCGTATCAAGATCTAATAGGCAAAGGAAAACTAACTCTAAAATCCCAAAACATCTAACCAAAGCATATAACAATGACATTCCCTGCCAAATCTCTCAGTTGTCCCCTTCTCATTGTTTTGAGAACCTTCTGCTATCTTCTTCACAGCAGTTAGAATGTCCTTGAAAAGTTTCCATAAATCTTTGTCCCGATAAACATCTGCAGAACTGGAGAGGTTTCGTTTCTCTAACTAACCCATTTGAAGCCTCATCTCTCTCTCCCCCCCCCCCCCAACCTTACTCTAATGACAAGATGAAAACAATAAGGCATGTAGCTGTCAGGTTTTCGCTCTTGACAGAATAGAAGAAGAATAGAATAGAATAGAGTAGAATAGAATAGAATAGAATAGAGCTGGAAGGGGCCTTGGAGGTCTTCTAGTCCAGCCCCCTGCTCAAGCAGGACAACCTATACCATCTCAGACAGGTGAATGTCTAGTCTCTTCTTGAAAATCTCCAGTGATGGAGCGCCCACGATTTCTGGGGGTAAGTTGTTCCACTGGTTGATTGTCCTCACTGTCAGGAAGTTTCTCCTTAAGTCCAGGTTGCTTCTCTCTTTGATCAATTTCCAACCCTTGTTTCTTGTCCTGCCCTTTGGTGCTTTGGTGAACAACCTGGCCCCCTCTGCCTTGTGGCAGCCCTTCATACCTTCTATTAAGCCAACAATTGTGCTATGTTAGCCCAGGTTAAGAGTTAAACGTGTTGAGTAAGCTGAACCTTCCTGCTGAAAGGCAGCGCTTCGAATCTCACCTCTCCTTCAATGTCTCCCAGCAAAGTACTGGCACCCAAACGAAAGAGTTCTGGTTTCAGCCATTCCTCTCCCAATTCCTCCTTCATCAGTGAAAACCAGATCAAGGCCTCTTTGGCTTTGCGAATGCCTCCTGCAGGTTTAAATCCAACCTGAGGAAAGATTTTTTTTTTAAAAAAAAGAAATAACTATTATGTTAGACTCCAAAGAAGTCGTTGCAGGTGTACAGCAAATAGGAATTTGCATATAAATGCATGCATCTATCTAAACACACACACACACTCTCTCTCTCTCCCTCTCCCTCTCTCTCTCTGTGTCTAATTTACAGAAGGATTTCTTTCCTGCCTTCCCTCTCCAAAATGCAGGTGCACAAAGTGGCTTATAGGGTAATAAAATGTAACGACAAGAAGAAACACACAACTAAATAAAAGAAAATCACTAAAAATATAAATGGAAGCATAGAGTAGAACTTGATAACCATGGAGCTCCAGACATCTGGGGAGAGATACAGCATGTATTATATGAGCACTAAAAGCCTCAAAGCCAATTTGGGGGGGAACCAGAGAGTTTACTTTTAAAGAAGAAATATCTTTCTAATATTGAAAATCTTGAAAAATGGCACAGCAAGTTAGCTGGGAAGAAGTATTTAAATGCAACAAATAAAACTGCAGTAAATTTAAAAGATTTGGAATGAACTATATATTAAAAAGTGAGGGGAACGAGAGAGCGAATAAAACTCACACGTGGCATTCACACTTAGAGAAGAGGTGAATGTTCACAGTAGACATCTAAGGCAGGGGTCCCCAACCCCTGGGCCCCGGCCCACTACTGGGCCTTGATTCTTTTGGAACTGGCGAGCAAGCATGAATGTGCACGCATCCCCACTCGTGTGAGCAGGCAGTCATGTGCACACACTTGCCCACCACATGCGCGGGACTATCCCCTCTCTCCCGCCCCCGTCAGTCCGCAAAGTTGAAAAGGTTGGGGAACTCTGATCTAAGGCACTTAATAGTAATAACCTCCTGAATATTATAATAATAATAATAATAATAATAATAATAATAATAATAATAATAATAATAATAATAATAATAATAATAACAACAACAACAACAACAACAATAAAGTTGGAAAGGACCTTGGAGATCATCTAGTCCAACCCCCTGCTCAGACAGGAAACCCTATACCATTTCAGACAGATGGCTGTCCAGTCTCTTCTAAAAAACTTCCAGTGTTGGAGCATTCACCGCTTCTGGAGGCAGGTTGTTCCACTGGTTAATTGTCCTAACTGTCAGGAAGTTTCTCCTTAGTTCTAGGTTGCTTCTCTCCTTGATCAGTTTCCATCCGTTGCTTCTTGTCCTGCCTTCAGGTGCTTTGGAGAATAGCTTGACTCCCTCTTCTTTGTGGCAGCCCCTGAGATATTGGAACACTGCTATCATGTCCCCCCTCGTCCTTCTCTTCATTAAACTAGA